GGGGGGGGTCGGGGGGGATAACACGCGTGACGTCCGGAAGCAATAAAAGAACGATCTCAGGGCGGGTCCCTGCATCCAGGTAGCATGAAGCGAGGGGGTGGAGTCGGCGGAGGCCTGGCGATGGAGCGGTGGCTTTCCAGCAGGGAGGTTCTGGGCATCTCCAGGGCAGGTCCCCCTTGCAACCCACCGCGCCCAGACTCCTGGGGCGGAGTGGAAATCCAAGGCTCTGGCAAGGATGGCGCTGGAGCACATTCGGGGATACGCAGCCTGTCAGCAAAACTCTTGGCCACCCAGGAACCCAGACAAGTCGACCTCGCGGAATATCGCCGTCCCGGCCATGCCTCCTCTCGGCGGCGCGCCGAGGGGTGAGGGCAGAGTTGGCGGCCCTTCCCAGAAGGCACAAAAGGCCTCCGGCCTTCCGAGAATCTGTTTCGGCATTCTCCGAAGCCCCGCCGCCTTCTGAGAAGGCCCGCCCCCCTTCTGAGCGTCGTTCCACCGATCCAGATCCCCCCCGGGCATGGCCTGGGCACCACTGGCCGATCTCTCCCCCCTAGAGTCGGGAACAGAGGTTCTTACCTTCAAATCTCGAAAGGCCTGTCCCCAACGAGGGTGGTGGGATGGTGGGCATCGGGATGGGGATGGATGTGGGGATGTATTTGAGCAGGGATCGACCGTCCCGGCATTTCTGTAGGCCTACCACGACATGTTCTTAGAATCCCAAAATTACCCCAGTGCGACCCTACCTAGAAGTTGGAGCCCCTAGGAAAACAGCATTAGTTGCTATGCTATGTTATGAAATGCTATGCTGCGCTATGCTATGCTATGCTATGCTATGATGCGCTATGCTATGGTATGCTATGCTATGATGTGCTGTGCTAAGCTATGTTATGTCATGCTGCGCTGTGCTATGCTATGCTATGATATGATATGATAAGCTGCGCTATGCTATGCTATGCGATGGTATGCTATGATATGCTGGGCTATGCTATGATATGCTGTGCTGCGCTATGCTATGCTACGCTATGCTATGCTATGATATGATGTGTTCTGCTATGCTAAAGCTCAGCGAAGCTAAGATGAAGGTCAGCTAAGCTAAGATAAACCTGAGCTAAGATGAAGCTAAGCTAAACTAAGATGAAACAAGCTATAAACTAAGATGAGATAATAAACGCTAAGCTAAGGGGCCGTCACTGGGGGAACCGCGGGGCGGATACTGGGGGAACCGCCCGGGGCGAGGACCACTGCCCGGCCCTTTAAGCATACACGGTAAGAACCCGTCTAGGCAGAGCCTAGGTAGGGAACGATCTAAGAACAAAAACCGTGCTCTCAGAACAAACGGTTAAAGCAAGACCATCCCAGCCAGAAGCGCTCTAAAAATACATCTCGCGCGGACCACAAGAGGTTATCAGAACCTTCTCTGGTGGGGGACCATCGGCGAGCCGGGACGCTTCGCCGCTGCTTGAACTGTCTGGGGCCGGTGGAGCGATGCGATCCCGCCCGCCTCCCACCCCTTGGCGCACCACCGGCCCTCCTCGGAAGGCAGGCGCTGCAGGCACTGCAGGTTATGCCGCCACGGGCGCCGCCGGCGCGCGACGGGCGCCGACCGTCCCCCCCCTACGAGCGGAGGGCGCGCGCGCACCGGGGGCCTGCCCCTCCTGCGGGCCAGGGCGCCACTATGAGGCGCCGGGGCCCCGCGGGCGCGGGGCTCGGCGGAAGGCGGCTGCGGACGCGCGGGGCCCCCGGGCGGCGCGGCGCGACAGCCAGACGCACCCGCTGTTTTCGAAAAGGCACCTCGCCAGGGGAAGCCTGGGGGCACGATGGTCGTCGATGCTGTGCTACCTGAGGCGGTCCGAGGCTTATATTCGGGGCGCGCAAACATGGATGAGCGATCCATGGATTGGGCGCGCGGTCGCCGAATCCATGGATCGGGGGAGGTGCCCTCCCCAAGGTGCGGCCGGTGCCGCCTCGCCCGGCCGCGGAAATCCGCGATCTCCCGTGGAAGCGGCACCCGTCGCTAATCCACGCCCCCTTGCTCCATGTTGGCGATCGCCTGCCTTTTATGTGTGCCTCCCCCCGAGCCAACGTCAGAGGGCCACCTGCTGGCGGGCCAGTTTCTTATCGGACGTGCCTGCTGCTCATGCGCTAGCCATCGGGGTTGAGAAACGCCAGAGGGCCACCTGCTGGCGGGCCAGTGTCTTACCGGACGTGCCTGCTGCTCATGCGCTCCTCCTCCTCCTCCGCCTCCTCCTCCCCCTCCCACTCCTCGTCCTCCTCCTCCTCCTCCTCCCCCTCCTCCTCCTCCTCCTCCTCCTCCTCCTCCTCCTCCTCCTCCTCCTCCTCCTCCGTCGATGCTGTGCTACCTGAGGTGGTCCGAGGCTTATGTTTAGGTCGGGCATGCCCCCCTGCAGGCGGATTGTGGACGAAAAATAAAACACTGACAAAACAGATTCCCAACTGGCCAGACACAGTCAAAACGTCCTCCCCAGACCATTTTCTACCA